ATATTGTCGTATCAAATTATGTTTTATTACATAGTACGAGATGAATCTCGACCTTGGACTGAGAGAGTGGTGATTCTCATTGTTTTATCCCGGTGAAAAAATCCGTTGTTCCGCCCTCTTTACTCCAGTCGAAAATTGAAGGTAATCATAATTTTTTATTAATATTTATTTTTTTTAACCGCAAAAGTTCAAAATTAACATTCATGAAGACTGCCTCACCAAAGATGGCTTTAGCAATGAAAGGTACGAGATTCGTTAAATTCATAAAAAAAATTAAAAAATTGAAGCAAAATTTCACCAATTGAAAACTACAAAAATATTTTAATATTTCTTTTTTCTTCTCTTCATGTTTAGGATGGAAATTGGTAGATTTCGCACGTCGAGGTCACGTGGTGATCATCGGTGAGGGGATGGACGCATGTGTAGTTATTAGCCGTCTGGCGGACTTTCGCCATGCCAAAATTACTTGAGCATCATGACAATTACATGATGTATAGGATTACAAACTAAACTTGAGCTTTTAGCTAATCACCAAGCTCAAAAAATTTGAGAATCTAAGAATTATGAATTAATGTGAAGAGATTTTCTATTGGCAAAGCTCATGACTCCATGTAATAGTCTCGTACTTTAGACAAGAACACGAGTTAATATGTCCACATCAGTTAGGAGATTAGCATATCGCATGATCTTGATGCTTTTCTATTTAGCATCGTGTAATAAAAAGAAGACGTGTCATTAAAAGTAATATAAAGTATGAATTATGCTCAAAACAATGTCGTGGAGGCTTATATAAAACACCTAAACTTTAAAAGAAGTAAAAAAACAAACAAATGAATAAAATACGAAATACTGAAAATAATAAAAGGACTAAAACGGGCTGCAAGCAATGGAATTCGGGCTTAGGACCACATAGTCCATTGCACTTAGTGAAATATTGAAATTATAAAACATGTTTTGAACGATCTCCATTAACCAAAACTCGTCTTCTACACGTTACACATTCCTACTTTATCTTTTTTTTTTTTTTTT